TGGGGGCCACAGGGCCAGTGGCTGTGGAGAGGCGCCCTTCCCGGGGTCCTGCGCCCCCACTGGGACCCTCTAGCTCCTCTCTCCTCAGTGGCCTTTTCCCTCCCGCCCCGCACTCACCTGCCCAGCTTTCCCGCAGGGCCAGGACCCCTGAGAGCAGCAGCAGGAGAGTTGGGGGCCTCATGTGGAGTCCTGGGAGAATCTGAGACCCCGAGGGTGTTTGCAGATTGTATCTCTGGAGCCCGGAGATGCTGATTGGCTGCTCGGGAAACCCCCGGGCAATGGGGAGTGAGAACTGGGGTGAGTCACCAGTATCCAGGCAGGAGGACCCAATGCAGGTTGTGAGAGGGAGAAGTGAAACGGGGGAGTTGGGGAATCCCCACCAGTAACCTTCCCTCCCCAGATACAACCCAGCGGGCTGAGGGCCACACCCGCCCCCTCCTGTCCCACCCCCTCCTGCCCTGCACTGAGGCCTGGTCACAACGTGTCCCGACTCAGGTCTGGTCAGCAGTTTTCAAGCATTTTATTTTTAGGATCTCTGACAGTCCTACACATCAGTGAGGACCCCAGTATAATTTTAGGTCACAGTTCTCAGTGTTAACTACACGTGGAATAAAAGCAATTGAAAGCTATTTTCACTCAATCTACAATAATATTAATAGCACATTGTAATGTTCACAAAGTGTCTTAAAGAAGTACAGATATTTTGAAAACAACAGCTTACGTTTTTGCAATTGCCTTTTATTTTCTCCTGCATTTACTCTTTGTTTTGTTTGGTCAATGGAAACTGTACAGCCTCACTGGCAGAGGTGACCACAGCATTTTAAGTATCTTTCAGATAGTTGTGAAGATTTAGTTTTGTTCCACTTTGACAATAAATTGAGAATATGCAAGTGGTGGTTTCAGAATGTTATTTGCAAAGTGAATGGTGAAGCAATATCATTGAATGTTTTCTATTCTGTTACCTTCATCCTGTTGGGAGTGACCAAAGATTTACTGACAAGGACTGAATTAGGGCGGTAAAGAACTGAGCCTAGCATCCAAGCTTGATAAAGTGGTAATAAACTGACCTTGCTTCCTAGATGGGACTAGCTGAAGGTGATAAGGAACTGGGCCTCACATCAGGGACACAGCAATGAGTCACCCCCTTTGGAATCTGAGTTTAGAATCTATATAAGAGGCCCTTCCCCCTTATTGGGTTGGCAGTAGCTGAGGATCCCACTCCAGGGTCTCTACTGCTGTCCTGGAGCAATAAACTCTGCTTGCTCAGCCTTTCTGCCTCCCACCTTCCTTTCTTGGGGCCAGTCACAGAAGTTGGGACAAAACATATCCCATAGGCCGCTCTTGATTATGACTCTTGAGCTAATAAATGATTTCAAAAAGTGATGCATTGTTTTACTAGGTTATCTGAACTTTATGTTAATTAACTTAGAACCAAATTTTGCAAATCATGTGTTTTATGTTCCAAAGATTCCCAAAGAAAAGTAAATGACTACTGGAAATTGTCAAGTTCATAATGATGGGTCACAATTTTCCACTATCTGGTTTTCACTGGGAGCTTGTACTTTATTAAGGTGGCTAATTACTATCATTTGTCAATTGTCAGTTGATTTTCTTAAAGGGAAGTGTTTTGTCCCAACTTCTGTGACCGGCCACAAGAAAGGAAGGCTGGAAGCAGAAAGGCTGAGCAAGCAGTTTATTGCCCCTGGACAGCAGCTGAGATGAGACCCCAGAGTGGGGTCCACAGCTACTGCCAGCCCTATGGGGGGAAGAGTCTCCTATATAGATTCTAAACTGAAATTCCAAAAGGGTGACTCATCTCTTTTATGTCCCTTGATGTAAGGCCCAGTTCGTTATCACCTTCATCTAGTCCCATCCCAGACTCAAGGCTGTTAATTGGATGCAAGGCCCAATTTATTACTGCCTTATCACCCTTGGATGCAAGGCCTGATTTATTACTGCCCTTATCCAGTTCCTTAGTAAATCTCCGCATTTGGTCACTCCCAACAGGAAGGACTCATAATCATTTTGTAGAAGGTGTATACAGGTTAACCAGATTTAAATGATAGTTTTTGTCATTCATCCCTGCAAATAAAGATGGTAGACCCTGCCCTCCCCCCCACGCCCATAGTCCTAATTCACCTCATACAAATTAGTTTCCTTGGGACACAGAACTTTGGATTGTGGGAAAAGTGATCCACATGTGCTCTGTGTCATCAGAAACCAGGTTTGCTTTGTCTCCAGATTCTTTCTCTCAGGCCTGAGGAGATGCTGCCCTGTTTCCTGAGCCTGCCTGGCCAGGACCTGAGGGGGCTGCAGTGAAGACAAAGCAGCCTCAGGGATAAAGTTTAAAAGTGGCTATTTTGAGGAGGGGCTTCCTGGGAGAGGAAATAGGAGTCACTGGAGCAGGAAGAAAGGAGAGGGAGAGGGAGGAAGGTTGTTTTTAGTTTAGTCCAGGCTCCAGGATTCAATGTTTGAGTTGCTTCAGCATCTTGGGAGGCCAGTGAATTTGAACCCCAGGACCGGGCTGATCTTGGAGAAGGCCACTGGGGACCTCTGAAGGTGGAAGCCAGAGGAAGGGGCTTTGTAAGAAACGAAGCAACTGAAAAGGTTTCTGGATTTTCTGTGGATACAGCCTGGCCCAAATGCCGACTGAGACCATTTCTCTGGTCATTTGGTGGCTGTGGCTGCTGTCCCAAGTGTCCCTCATCTGGTGCTGTGCCCGAGTGTCCTGCAGCTCAGGGAGCGTCTCCTGAGGAGTCTTCTGTCATCTTCTTGAGTTGGAACCTAGCCTGGAGTCCATCCGCCATGTGCCACAGGTCAGCAGAGGCAGGAAGACGCCATCTTGACATGTGGCCTGTTGCTGAGAGGAGCTGCCCATCCTCAGTGGCGGGGAGATGCCATCCTAATGGTCTCCGTGCATGACAGTACTGGACAAGACTTAGGGTAAAGTAAGCGGTCACTGTTGGCCTCAGAAAACCTTGTTTGTCCCATTTATGAAATAAATCTGTTTGTAGTACAGTAGTGTTGGGTCCTTTGCCTGGACAGACCTCCCACCTCCCCCACAGAATCATATGCACACTGTTGTGTGGAAACAAAGAATGAGCCATGGGTGCTGGAACAGAAAAACAGGAGGCAGGAAGTGTTCCTGCCTTGTGTTTGCTACCTTGTGTTCTTTGACCCCCATGTTATTGTCGCATGTTATTGATGCACTTGCTGAGAGCTTCCGCCTACCCCCAGCCCCAGGCTCCATGCTGAAGGGGATAAATAGGGAAGGAGAGAAAAATAAAGTGTGTGCCTTTGGTTGCTGAAGAAGTGTTGCTTTAATCCTGACGTCCTTCGCTCAGACCATCTCTGCTGTCGTGCTGGCGCGGCAAGTAGGTTGTATAAAACATTGCTGTTAATAAAGAAAAATTGCAAAGTGTTTTATACCAGTTGCCTGAGCCTGAGCAGGCTTGCAAATGTGCCTGTAGGAGAAGAACATTTTGAACAGGTGGCAAACTGTTTGAGAAAAAAGATGTGCAACCCTGACCCTAACCAACCCTAACTCTGACCATGACCCTGACCCTGACCCTAACCACCCTAACCCTAACCAACTTAACCCTAACCCTAACCCTCCAGAATCCGAGCACGAAACATGACCACATTGCTGTGCACTGAGGACAACAGAGACAAGAAGAGAACACTTTGAATGTTGAGAATTGTTTGAGAAAAAGATGTAGGGCCTTAACCCTAAGAACAACACGGACACGGACAACCCTGACCCTGACGACCCTGACCCGGATGACCCTGACCCTGACGACTATGACCCTGAACCTGACCATAACCCTAACCCTTATTGTCCCTGTCAGGCTTCAGTGCAGGTGAGAGAACATTTTGAACAGATGGTGAACTGTTTGAGAAAAAAGATGTGCAACCCTGACCCTAACCCTAACCACCCTAACCCTAACCACCCCAACCCTGACCACCCCAACCCCAACCCCAACCCTAACCCTCAGGCTTCAGTACAGGTGGGAAGAGAACATTTTGAACATGTGACAAAGTGTTTGAAAAAAAAAAATGCGTAGCCCTCACCCTGCCCCTAATCCTCACCTTACCCCAGAAACAGGACTGAAGGGATCTGCCAAGTGTTTCATAGTCTCAGGGACTTATTTTTGAAAATCAGTTATTTTGGCAATAACTGATACTTGTTATTCACGCAAACACAGAATTTATAAATTGTCAAGAACATACACATCACGCTCTCGTCAGCCAAGTCTCCTTTACTCTGAGCCGCTGCAGTCAGCAACCCGTCATTCCTTATTCCTGAAATCTATCGGAGCATTAATATCAGGTCTGTAAAAGTGCTTGGGCCACAGACCTGGAAAACAGATTTGCAAAACATAACTGTGATATAATCCATGTTTTAGAATGTGCCTGGAATCCTTAAAATTCAACAAGGGACAATAACTTTTTAAAAATTGAGTGGAACTCTGAACAGTTTCCGAAGAAGCTCTATTGATGGCTACTAGGCACATGGACAGA